AAGAAATTCATAAAGCAACTCCAAAACACCTTTTTAAAAAAACAAAAAACCAAACTGCTTATGACTGCTTAGGTCTATCCTCTTTCATCAGTTGAATCCATTTCAACTTCTCAGCATGAGCAATTTTAAGCCAAATACTTAAGTTGTGAATATAGCATGTGTGAGGAGGAGGAGGCACGGAGAGGCCATGAGATGGCCGGAGGGTACAAAGGCACTGGGGGAGCAAGGGCCCACACTACCAGCAAAGGCATCATCTCAGCCCCATGAGTGACCTTTTTCTTCAGTGTATTTGCTGAATCGGAAAGCATGCTTTGGGATGTTTCATTCACACCGTTAGTCATCCTGTGAGCTCCTCACCTGCCCCTTGGGGGCTCAGAGCTAACAAAGCGGAGGAGAAGCATTTCATATTATGGGGAAACAAGATGCTAAGACAACAAATGAACTGGAAGTCTTAGATTAGCAAAGTGCCAAAATTACTGGACCTGTCCGTTTAAAAGTTGTTCTATTAACATAATTAATGAAGCCACATTTCCCACTATGTCCCTAAGATAATCTGCTTTGAAGCTTCTCTGATGTCTAATGGAACTTGAGCTCACCCTGCCTTCCCCCCCTCAACGGGGCCCTTAACTGGATCTCTCTAATGAGGATAAATGCTCAAGTAAGCTTGTAGTAACTTCTTATCTTTGTGACCTCTATCTCCAACTAATTTCAGCTTCAATTAGCCAACAGGTTCAGAAGTCAGTGGGGCAAGGTGGGAGGAAGAGCACGGCCGGCACATGTACAACGGGGCTGCGAACCCATCGGTTCCTCCCAAAACCAGGCTTACCTCCTGCAGACCTCCACTTCCCCTGGGTGCAGCTAACCCACACTCTCACGGTGAAGTAAAATGTGCTGTACGAGAGGAAAAAAACCACTTCAGGGAACTCAGACGAGAACCACAGCGCAAGGGAGGATGATGCACAAGGTAGCAAGACAGTGGAAAGCTAAAATCTGCAGCGAGATCTGCTGGACTCCTGGTATTTCCCAGCAGGCTGGCTGGCAGCAAGTGAGGGCTGTAGGAGAAGGGAACGAGGAGACAGAAAAGCCCAGATGAAACTCCATCTTCTGTTCAATCACAGCTGCCCTCGGCCACCTCGCTGGGCTGCTCTGGTCCTGGGAAGATGGAAGTGCCGATGCAATTAAGACACCAGCGATCAGTTGAAGATGGCTGCGACGAGCCCAGTTTAACCAACAGATTCATCGTTCTTCTGCTAAAGTTTCTTTTCAAAGCTTTCTCACAGGGGTAACAGCTCAGAACAAACTTTTCAACCTGTAATTGCTTAAAATGGAAGAAACTGAAGGAGGGGGAAAAATAATTAAAAAAAAATCAGGAAAATATATAACTTGCCAGGCCAAGAAAACTCGTCCCGCAGAAGCTCGGACAGGTGACTCAGAGCCAGTGCAGTTGTCAGAGCAGCACTGGGGAGGAATATCGGCGTAACTTCTCCGAGAGTCAGATTGCAGGAAAGGTTGATTTAATGGCACACTACACCAGCTTCTCCACTCCACTGAGAAAAAAATAAATGGATGGGGACTTGCTCATCTAAACACATAGCGTACGTCAGAGGAACAAACCTGAGTAACTGCCATCCATAATTTATACAACAAATTAAATCCATGGCAAAAATAACCATAACTTAGAACGGAGCGATTGTAGAATCTGGCAGAAAAAGGCCCCAGCCTGCATGAATCATTATTTTCTAGAGGAAACCTTATATAATCCAAGCTACTCTGTTTTAAAACAAATTAAACCTTTCAAAAACTCCAATTAATAGGTTTGGCAAAGCTCTGTCTTTAATTCAGGTATTTTGGTGATTTGCTAAGATAAAAAAACCTACCTGGTACCGACTAACTTTACGGTAGTCTACACTCTGCTTTTAGCATCTCCAAAAACCTCCATCAGAAGGCGGAGGGGAGATGAGAGCATCTACCTGGGGCCGGAGGAAGGCGATTAGATTGCAATGCCATCTTGTGGAATAGGAGAAAACGAAAGACGGAAAATAAAATTGCTCAGCTGCCACTTTGCAATTGTATATTATTTTAGAGGACACAGATATTGGCCCAGCAGGGTATATTCGGTGGTTGCTTCTCATTTTCCTCGTTTATCTGAAAGGTTTGAGGGAGGCACGCAGTAATAACTGCAGAGACGTGGTCTGCTTCCCTCATGCTGCCTGGAAAGGGATGGACATGCCTGTCAGAAATAAGACTGCTCTTTTTTGCTTGTTTCTAGCCTTTACTATGAGAAAGTCACAACCTTCTGTGCTGCTGCCCCAGGAAACCAGCTACCGGAGAGCCACCAAAAAGAGGGGCTTGGGTAGGACCACACCAATCCCCCAGATCCTCCCCCCAATCCATGGTATAGTTTAGCAGGACCTGAAGAACATTTCTGACTCCGTGCATCGCACAGCTTGCCTGCAATCACCTCCGCGCAGGTCACATCTGATACTTAGGCTCCCAGCTGTGTCCTGTGTTACTAAAATCCCTGTAGATCGCCCTTATCACAAAGCCTGGTTTAACCATCCTCTCTGCAGGGAGCTGCCTACTTAGAATTCTTTAGGTAAAAAAAAAAAAAAAAATTTACAAAAGTTAAGGATGGGGGGAAGTTACAAAAAAGCACCATCCGGGTAAGCCAGGATGTAGCTATGGATGGTGACAAACTTTCTTCTCTCCATGATGAGGCCAACTGCAACCTACGACCAGGGAGAAAGAACCACGGACTCTTTGCAGACTCCTGACTAATACTAAATGCTTGAGCCTAATGATGAACAGAAATAAAACCAACCCAGACAGGTGCATATTGTGCTGAGCGGCCGTGTTTTGGCCCCACGAAACCTGCACCCACTTACTTGAAATGGGCTGTACCCCCAGCCCTCGGGGACCTGATGCGGTGGCACAGCCTGCGCTCGAGCTGCCAAAGCCTGGGGACTGCAAGCAAAGGGTTGGTGCTGGCAGGCTGCTCTCAGGACGGGTGCCGAGGACACCAAGGGATGAGCTGATGCTGGAGCCCACTCAGGTCAAGAGAGGATTAAAAACCACATAGGAGCTGCGCAGTGAACCCAAACAACACACCTGCTGAGAGTTTGACAGCGATGCAGCAGCACTCTTTTCAGGGCACACATTTTCCCTTAAATAATTTCTTTTTTTTCCCAAAATTTTGAAAATTTTGAGAATTTTTGGAAAATGTGGAGATTTTTTCCAATTGGAATCGGAATGGATGGGATCACAGTTAGGCTATCTCTACCCAGGAAATCCAAAAATACTGAAGGAATCAGTTATTAAGGTATTGTGGCACTTGCCATATCATCAGGTTGTTCCAGCTCAAGGGTTTGTTTGGGGCAAATTTGTTCCCCACCTCCCCCAGCATCTCAATTATTGGGCATACGTAAACACAGTATTGCCTCAGATAGCTGTTTTACTCTGTATTATACTTTAATTTTTTGCTTCTTTTCAAATGCAGTTCTTAAGAGGACGTTCTGAGGGTTAAAATTTCTAATAAAAAAGTTAACGAGAAATGGTTACTCAGTGTTACTCTGCAAAAAAAAGCCCCAAAAGGTATGGAAACTGGGAGAGAGTGGGGACAAACAAACCCAAGAGAACCAGTGGTAAAACTGAAAAGTCAGGATTGTGCA